AAAGTGTGTTGCTCCACCAGAGCTGGCATGTCACCAAAGCTAGGGTAGCTGGCTTAAGTGCCTCTTGCCTAAGCTGAGAAAAGCCCTTCAGAGGATTTATTTATTTTTAGTGAGTAAAGAACAACTCTTCCCTCATCAGCCCACAAGCAGTCACTCACAGGAGTCAGCACTCTCCCCCCCCCCCGCCCCGCCTTTTTAGGGTTGCTTATCAGTTCTGTAGCTCCCAAGCTATCTAGCTGAAATGCCTTTTACCTTTGGTTGCTTATCTCACCTTTGCTTGGGTCTCTGTTGAGCTTACATAAATGTGACCTTCAAGGCAAGGTGGCCAGAAGTTAGGAACTGGCCAACCACCAAACTTAGAGTGGGAACAATGGAGCAACCATGATCTTGAAGGGCCGCTCTCATTGGCATTGTTCCCCAGAGGCAGTATCTGATTTGTTCAGACTGCTGCTACTCAAAATATAAGTGGAGGCAGAGATAATCCTTTTAAAAGGTAGCATGGTGGAGACTGCAGACTGGCTTCAGTGGCAGCAGAACCAGCCAGTTGAGAAGGAGAGGCAAGAGTCCCTGCCATCTTAGTGTCCTTTCAGGGGGTTGCTTGAGCAGTTTCCCAGACCATGGGACTCTTGACCTGTAGTCTAGTCCTGGTGGCAGTGCTGCTTGTAATCTACATACTATTCTTTGGAGAGGGAAGGCAAAGCACCACTTGACTCATTGAGCATATGATCCGTAGTCACATCGTACACACGGCATCCTTCATAAGATCTCTGACCCTGTCATCACACATTTGAGTTGCTGTTGTTTGCTGAATTTAGTCAGTTAGGTGTGTTTCCAGTCAAAGCACTACAAAATAGTGCTGCATAGTAACTAAGACCAAAAAGAATACAATAGAAATGAATATAACCACTCTTTAAAAAGCCAAAGGGAACATTGCATTCTGCTGCATTTGGTTGCATCAATGTTCTTTTTACATCAGTCTTTCTCTTTTGAAATCAATGTGCACATATCTGGCCAGATCTTTATTAGGTGTTGAATTGACATGGATACTTAAAAGTTGGGCTTTAGTGTCCAAATATGCTTCATAACCAGAAATAGGGTTTACAGCTTATTTCTGTAAACTCTATTTTTTCTGTACTTATTTATTACATCAGAGAGGATGATGAGGATCTGACTATTACTACAGCATGGTACAATATACAGCATTTAGTATAATACAGTTGCTCCCACTGTGGATCCATCTTAAACTTATTCACACAAAATGGCTGGACAGGGCTGAAGAGAGAAATCCAAACAGCAGAGAAAGGAGTAAGAATTCACGAAGTGAAGCGATAAAATCCAAAGGGGTAGATTCCACCTCTGTATTGGAGATCATTGGAAACAAAGATGAGAGGCAGTGGGACTTGTCCACATGGGGAAAGAACACCTGCTTGTGTTCCCCCACTATTAGAAACAGCGGTGGTGTGGGCCAGATTAGGCCTCCTGGTCAAAACCTCTGCACCACTGTAATAAACATTTTCCAGCTGATGATCTCTGCCAGCCCACCTGGGAGCAATTCTTAGGTAAGGCAGGCTGGATTGATGAAATTACTGAGCACCTGCTATGTAACCCACCACTTTAAGACAATTGAGGCCATGACTGTTCTTCAGATGATTTAAAGATATTATGCTAAAAACAAATGGACAGCAAGCCTTGCGTGGAACCTTTTAAAGCCACAGAAATAAAAGTTCAGAGCAGATTGTTTCAAAAAAATATTTATGGGCATCATATATGTCAGCCTCTCCAACTTGAAGACCTCCAGATGTGTTGAGCATTGGGCTGGGGGATGATGGAAATTGTACTCCAACACATCTGAAGGTCACCAGGTTCAGGAAGACTAATACATGCTCTAGGATGGGGTTCCCAACCTGGGGTGCAAGAAAATTGGCAAATCATGACATTTTTAACCAAAAATTATCCCAATAATAAAATTATTTATTATTATTTAGTTTGCATTTGGATTCAGTGCTTTTGTCAATCTAGACAAAATCTAGGAATTGCTTGAATCCACAGGCAGACTTGTGGGCTGCAGTCAGCAGGAATGTTCCACATTTTGACAAAATCATGAATGAGAAGCAGGAACAAAAAGTCATTGAATGTTATATTCACAACTGGGATTGATTTTACTGTTTACATTTTTTTCTAATTGCTCAATTTATATTTTGATTTTATGTACTGAGTTAAAAGCCTTTTTTTTGTTCAATTTGTTTACCCGCGGTACTGTATGTGGTTCAATTTGTGATTCAAAAATTAGAAATTTGACAATGTCATCTTCAAATATGATATTACTTTTCTAGTGGTGCAAACATAAATCAAACATTTTCTATGGGTGCAGAGCATAGAAAAGCTTGGGAACCACTATTCTAGAAGAATCAATATTTCCTCTTGGAAAGCATCACTCAAAAACCTGAGTTCGTGAAATAGGACAATTGTGTTGTATCACATGAGGAAAGTGGACAATAAAATGGTGGACAAAGTTTCTAGATAACAGCATTGGAATAAAAGCAGCACCATTTTAAAAAATTATTACTCAAGCAAGGAGGAAGGAAAAAACTATTATTTTGAAAAGGAAAAATGGAAATGGATACAAATTACAGGAAATAGAGTAAATGTGGAAACAGTGGGACACCAATAATAACATATATTTATCGGCAGAAATAACACAATAAGCATTGGATAAGTGTTGTACAAATGCAGTAAGTCATCTTTTACTCATAGTGATTTATCCTTGATGTGACAAACCAAGATTTCTGTGTTCCATTGCAAAATTGATCCTGTGCCTGACTGGTCCCACCTTATGTAACCAAGGTAAAAATTCACTCCTACTGCCTTCTTTTGTCCTCCCACTTGGCGCCCACCAAGTCTTCTGGCAGAATTCCTTGCTGGATGTGTTTCTGTTGATTTTCTTGTCTTGGTATGAAAGGAGTTTTCACAGGGTAAAGTTCTGATACTTTAAAATCCCCCACCCCATCTTTTGGATTGATTGGCTCATCTTTACCCAGAATGCTTCTAAGTGTGCAGTAGGAGACTCCTTTGTTGTGTGTCAGCCTGGCAAGCAAGTGACATGTCATTTTAATCTAACGTGATTGAGCTGTTCAGGAGAAGGTGGTCTTTTATTATCTGAGCTCTGTATAAAGGCTTTCCCCCCATGCTGCTAGTACTTAGAATGGGTGCTCCTGAGAAATAGATAAAACAAGCATTGTGTAACAACAAACGCAATTCATTTTTATAGTACAGGGGGGGCGGGGAGGAAGAACTCAATGGGAGAAACCTTATCTGAATGGAAGAGGAGATACTAAGTGGAAGGAAATGGATATATGACAGTCAGGAAGATTAATGGGGTGGTGGCTAAGAGAGCAAGGCTGGGAAAGGAGATCTGGGTTCTAGTCCTCACTCAGCCATAGGGTACCCCGGGTGATTTTGGGCCAGTCACAGACCCTCAGCCCAACCTACTTTGCAGAGTTGTTGTTGTGTGGATAAGATTGAGAAAAGGTGAAAAATTACATAAGCACCCTTGAGTTCCTTGAAAGGAAAATATGATGTATAAAATAATTGAATAATAAAAGAGGCAAAGCAAGATAAATGAATGTGTTCTACAAACTAAAGGGCCAAGCCTTCTATAGTAGTATTTTAGACCAGCTGTAACTCAAATATGATGCAATGGCCGACGTATGTGCCACCACTCATAAGCAAATCAGATGCCGATAAATCACAGAGTTTGTTCAGATAGTCTTCTTTAATGGGGCCAACCCCTCAGGGGATGAGGGGCAATTATCGTAAGTAACATGGTGTGGATCTTTATTGTCTTATTTAGCTTGGCTCTTGGGGTCACTGGCTCTATAAGGAACTGGAAAATATGTTGTGTCCTAAGAATGTGCAATCTTGCCATGGCTATTAATAATAAAGAAGAAAATAACTTTGATCAGGATTATATCCTTGATAATGGCAACCATATTACCCCAATGCTTGGCCATTCTTTATAGGTGCAGCCTGTTGTGACGCAAAATGGCAAGAATAATGGGTTCAAGAGTTTTTCGTCTTACTAGGTTTATTCTTTTGAGTGACTATATTTACCCAAGGTGTTTATGTATTGATATTGGCCTAATTCAGATAGAACTGTAAATGATCCTCCACCATTACAACCATGAGGAAAGTAGAAGCTTTCAGTTCTGTTTTTGACTAACTACAGTTTAATGTTCTGTCTGAACCCTAAACTGTGATTGCTCTTAACAATGGTGTGTCGAGATACGCAAGCTTCATAACCCAGAAATTGAGTTTGGCTTCATTCAGTAGCTAAGAATAAACCTACGTTGTCCAAGTTCACTTACAACACAAAACTAAGCTCATCAAAAATGGAAGTTAAATATTTAAATCTCATTTTGTAACAATGTAAGAGCAAAATAGGGGAGAGTGTATTTTTATGTAACATGAGTATGTAATTTGTGGAACTCCAGATGCTTTGCTTACAGATCATCCCTCACCACTGGCTATGTTAGTGGGAGTTGTAGGTTTTAACATCTGGAAGGCCCCATGTTGTCCACTCCTGATGAAACACTAAATCAGTGGTGGGCAAAACATAAATCTCCAGATGTTGCCAGCCAACACCTAGTGCTCTGTTACCGTTGATATACATTATTGTAACCTGATGCAAATCCCTTAGCTTCTACTGAACCCCTGTTCCTCGACCTAGTTTCTATAGTCTCTATTTCTAGTTTCCATTCTTCCATTGTCCATCCCTTAGACTTCACTTGAGAATTCTGGAACAATATCCAATTCTTCTGAATCAGATGCTACTTTCCTTTTCAAATACCAATTTTAACCAAATTTGGTGCTTTGACTTTAAACCAACATTTCTGTTCTGGAGACTTTCCATAAACAGAGCCCTAACTTGCTTGGAGAGAAGAGGGATGTTTTGTCTGAATTTTGCTAATAGCTTTCCCTGTGCATCCTTGCTTTTGCTTCAGGTCATGATATTAATGGAGCTCTTGAACCATCAAACATTGATACCAGCATCTTGGAAGAATACATTGGCAAGGAGGACTCACCGGATATGTAAGTGCTGCCTTTTCACTGATATTCCCAATGCTTAATGATGGTTGCATAATCCTGTCAGAATGATAGTGATGATTGCATTCAACGTGAGTGGTGTGGCTTGTTTCACATTATGACAATGTCAGCGATTATTTCCTTTGCCTTCAGTCTTCATTCTTTTTTGTTCATGACTCCAGCATAGTCGCAGTTTTTCCTAAATCTTTATTCAGTGCCTTCCTTCCTTGAAAGTGCTGTTGGAAAAATTTTTGACTGCAGATGTCTTAGATCAGTCTTTTAACTGTGTGTTGCCCAAGGTGGTATTTTCTGGTCCCCAGAAAGGGATACTGTGCTATACAGGAAGCATGCAAAAGGATGAGGTGTAGGAAAAGGAAACATAACTTTGTACTGGTGATACTTAGGTGACTTTTGAAGTGTGGCATAACTATGTAAGAGAGAACTCCTTAGGAGCTTCCATAACAGGTTAAAAAGTTTTGCACTGCTCTTAAATCTTTATGTGCTGCATTAAACAGCGTTTTGTAAAACAGCACTTTGTGACACAGAGCTAGTGGAAGCTGGCTGGTCACCTCCTGCAAACCAGGGAGAAGCTTGATTATCTTTGGAGAGGGAATTTCAGAATGCTGAGGCTTGGAAACATGGCTGACCCTACCATTAGACAGAGTAAGGTACTATCCTCAGGCAGCAGATGCTGGGAGGTTGCAGTTCAGCGTTGAAGGAGAAAGCTGAGGGCCGTATAACCTGCTTGGTGCCCCCTGTAGGGATTTTCTCTCTCTATTACTGCCCCCATATATGAAGATACTGCTTCTTCACTGGGTGGTCTCACCTATGGGATTGCTTATTTATAGCAGCTCCTTTTATTTACCAACCTGAGAAACTATCTGCCGCTACAGCCCTTGAATTCCACAAGCTCCCTGGCACAAACTGTATTGCAATACCTTACAATCTCCCGGTAGCTCTGATGAGGCTTAGGTGTGAGATGCTCACCTGCACTAGAGAGCAGATGAGCTGTTAAACAAGTAATTTATTAAAAGGATATTTTGTACTTAAGGGGTTGCTAATATTTACTTTGGAGCTTTATAAGGACTGCTTAGTGACAATTCATTAGTACTCAGGAGACACAGTTTCTGGCGCAGTCCTCTTATGACTACTTTTACCTCATGTCAAATTGCCTAAATTGTCAGCCTGGCCAGATATCCTTAAAACCAAGCTCATCTTTGGGCTACAGTTTTGTTTGGACACCAGCCTCCTCCCAGTGTGGTGTTGGCTGCTTGGACAGCTTTATTTGGGATTTTATGGCAAGGTCTTAGGTCAGGCTTTTGGTCTAACACAGCCACTTGCTTCCTACTGTTGTTCTTCATAAGCCACATAAAATTAGTTTAATAGTCAAAATGTTAATTTTCCCTCAGTTTTCTCCTACGCTTTTTAAAGAAACACCACACACCAAGCAGACCTTCTCCTTGCCTCTCCCTCCACAGACCAGTTATGATTCCTGTTAACCGCAAAACCTTAGTTGTCATTACCCAACTGTTCTTTCCCACCAAGCTTGAATCCCCACCCAATCAGAATTATATATACCTGTAGTGGGCCCCATCTAACTCTATTAAAATCAATTATCTCTCCCTGCTGATTGTCACCCAGCAACTTGCTTCACAGAGGACATACAAAATGCATCTTACAGAGCCACAATAGTTAAGTGCAGGCACTTCTTCTGACCACTAGCTTAATCTGCTGGTTTCATTTGCAGTAGAGGACATGCTCCCATCATCAGTGTGGAAAACAGACCCAAGTGTCTGCCCAGTCTGCTTCTGTGCACGGAATGGCTGATGGGGGCACTGCCTTGTTCTTTGCCTCAAGTAGTAAAATTCTTAGGCAAGCTCTGTTTGCAAACTATTCTGCCTTAAACTCAGTGTGCTCCTGTGTTGTGAGCATGACTATCATTCTGTGATGCTCACTCATCTGTTCACTTTTTAAAGGTCTTTGTAGCATTAATTATTTTTATTCCATTTATTATGAATCAAATGTGTTGTATATTGTCAAACTTGAGTTTTGTTTTGTTTTTTTGTCCAGACCAGCTTTCCCCAACCTGGTACCATCCACTTATTTTGAACTTCAGTTCCCATCAACCACAAGCAGCATGACCAATGGTTAGAAATGGTGGGAGCTGTCATTCAAAGCACCTGGAAGATACCAGGCTGGATAGAGATGATCTAAACTGAGGCCTTTGTTTAGTAACATACTTCTGTGTCGTGTGCCAACTATGCAGTGACATAGATGTGGTCTGTATGGTATATCAATGCTGCAGTGGAACAATGAATATGTGCATGTTATTCAGTTGTTTGATTTATTTCCTGCAGTTCTGATTTGGACTCCATCTCTGACATCCCAGCCTCAGCCAGCTACCCTCATGCCCAGCCGTCCAACTCTGTCAATGTCAATGCATCTGTCTCTACTGTTGGTCATATGACTAATGCTGCATCCAGTGGTTCCCTCCATCATGGTGCTGCAAGCACTCAAGTCCCAGTCCGGCATGGCCTTCTCAATGGCCCTTCAGGTGGCCAAGTTCCAATCCGGCACGGTCCCCCATTGCCCAATCCATGTGGACCCAGCTACAGTGCTCACCTCAACTGCAATAACAACAATGGCATGGTGGTGCCCAAGGGATATCTTGGGGGCCACTGCTTGACCAGCATTGCCCCTCCAATCAAATCAGAACTCAAGGCCTCCTATGCACCAGGGTAAGTGATGCAGCAAAAAGAAGGAACGGGGAGAACGCAGGTGGGGAAATTCCAAGATCTGAATTTATCTGAATTTATTCTTCAAATTCTAGAATATAACTATGCTGTTAATGTCCAAACAAATTAATATTTTTTGTTCAAAAAAGGCACTGTTCTTTTGAAAGAGAAATGGCAGCCCCCAAGTAAAGGAGAAATTTGTGTGTGTGTGTGGTTTATATATTGATTAATTTTATGTCTCCTTTTTACCTTACTTTACTTTACTTTGGTTTATCTTATATTTATTATTTTATTTATTTAAAACTTTTGTATGCCATCCCTTATGCCTTGGCATCTCGGGATGGCTCACAATCCATAAAATTGAAATACAATAAAATCACATGTATAAATAACATAATTCAATACAAATTTACATAAAGGACAAAATCAAAGCGACTGTTCGACGCAATTAAAATATTAATTTTTAAAATAGTGATTAAATAAAGAGGTTTCGACCTGGTGCCGAAAAGAATATAAACTCGGCGCCAGGTGCACCTCTCCAGGTTATCTTACTGTTTATTTTTATTGATTTTATTTTTATTGTCAGTTTTTACATTGTGACTTGTTAAACGTGAATTGAACTGAACTGAATTGTTTTGATTGTTGTTTATATGTTGTGAGACATTCAGAGAGCCTTATGGCTAATGGGACACCATACAAATGAAAGACAGACAGACAGACAGAGGAATCCACACCAGATCTGATGGTCTTAATTGAATATGTATATCCCCTCAGTGAAAAATGGAATACTTTAAGGCAACATAAAAGAAATTAAGTGAATTTAGGAAGATTGATATGTTTCCTGTCCTCTGCAAAAGTGACATGTGACTGAGTATGAAAAGAATTAAGTTCTAGTAGACTGGAACAGCAGGGGCTCATTTCTGTGGCATTTTTTCAGTTTATACACATTATGCTGCTGTGGAAACCAGAAAGGGATGTATTGCGGTAGGTAGGAAATAGATAATGTAGGGAGGCTGAAGGAATTTCCCACAAACAATAAATTATAAGGCAGGAATGAACAGCAAGTTGGGGTTCTTGCTGAACTCATCGTGCATTTGCCTGTGGCCTTCCCAGCCACTGATGGGGCTACAGTACTGTGTGGTCACTGAACATTCATCAACATTCTCACCTGAGAAAGAGTCAGTCGCAGAATGCTGGCAATCAGTGGAGATCCTGTGAAGGTAGCAGATCATCTGGGCTGTGGCGAATGAAGAGGTGTTGCATGACTTGGAGGCTGGACTAGGAGGATGTAGGCTGGACTGAGCTTCACATGGTAACATGAAATAAATATCCATATCTTTGACATTGGCATTGCGTGCTTAGCATACCTTGAGCTGGCTTGCTTTCTGCCGTTGACAAGCTGGAAGCTGAATTACTTTGGCTAGTATATTATTGGTGCTAGATATGAAGAATTCTGCCTCAAGGAAGAGTGATGTGAAAGGTGAACCTTAAATCAGTCCTTTGGTTCAGAGGGAGCATTCCACAGCTTTCATATTTCTATAGTGTACTTGCTTATGAACTAAATGGAAAAGCTTTTTATGGGTCCTTGTTTAACAATCAGGTTTGCTCAATGTGGTTGCAGGTTTTTTTCTTGTATTATTGGGAAAATATGCAGACTGCATTGGAAGAGTCTAATTTTAGGATATGTTGGAATATCTAGTGCTCAGTGCTTTCTGCTCTGAGGCCAGAGATGGAGCCCTTGCCATTTACAATCTCACTTCACAAGCTGGAAGAATACGGAGTATTGCAAAGGCTATTTTAATGCTGTGATGTGATTTACGAAGCAGATTACTGATCAGACTGCCATTTCCAATCCCTGCCATAATAGTGGTTGTGAGTGTAGCAGGACCACTCAGAACAAAGATTATTTAAACATCCTAGAAATTTTCCCAACACTGAACAGATATTTAGAATAAACTCAGTCTTCTCACTTAAGAAGAAACTACCCTGTGATATATTGGTTAGATTCACAAACAAAACAACATGAGATCACATATTAAACAAAGAGAATCTATTAAGAATAGCTGGAAAAGAAGTTAAGATTTTCCAAGATTTACCAGAAATTTACTAAAAAAAAAAAAAAGAAAAGATTTTGACTTTCTCAAACAAATCTTACAAAGGAAAAATATAAGTTATCATTGAAGAATACCATTTACAATAGAAATTACATTGCCAAAGGGATAAACAAATTACAATACAGTAAACTAAACAGTTGGCAGGAGAATTAACAACAGAAACTAAATCTAAAGATTCTGAAAAACAAAAAGAAAAGAAAATAGATAAAGAAGAGAAATCAGAGCAGGTGACAGTATTAGAATAAACAGACAAAATGAGGATCTTGTCATATAAATGGTTTAAATTCCCCTTCTAACTGAAGTACAACGTTTAACTTTTTGAAAAAAACAAAATGCTGATATAATATGTAGTCAAGGAACTAACATAAAATAAGCATGCTTATATACTAGATAAGAAATTGGGTAAAATTTATGAAGCTTCAGCAGGTGCTAAAAAGAAAGGAGTTGTGATTTCTATTTAAAATCAGGGTCTAAAAGTTATAGGTGAATTAAAAGATTTTAAAAGAAGATTTATTATCCTCAAGATAAAATTTCAGAATGGTACGGTATGCACATTGGCAACATTGTATACCCCAAATAATGCAAAAGAATGTTTATGAAAAAAAATAATAAAAAATTCGTAAAATTCCCTGTTGGATTTCCAAGGAGAGTTATTGAATTTTGGAGACATGAATGGAGTCATGGACCCAAACAAAGATAAATCTAAAAATGTTAAAAGAAGCAAACTCCCTAGAAATGTTTTTAATTATATGGGAATGTTACAACTGGAAGATGTGAGGAGGTTTAAAGTTAGAGATTATACCTTTTTTCCAGTAGACTTCAGACATACCCTGATGTGTTAGATATCTAAACTTTAGAGAATGTAAAAATTCAAAGATACCTTTTAAATAGTTTATTTAACCTATTTTAAATAGTTTGGTGTGAAGACCAAGTTTGAACGGAAAGAAAATGGAAATTAAATGACTATCTTTTATTACAAGACGATATTTTGAAGAAGTGTGAAAAAATTAGAAGAATTTTTTAGACTTAATAACACATATGACATCTCCAAGGCACAACAATATGGAAGTCAGCAAAGCTTATATGAGAGGAAACGTAATAGCCATAGCCTCCAAAAAGAAAAGAAAGGAACAATTAGAACAAACTAAAAAATACTTGAAAGAATTCAAATACTAGAACAACACAATAAAATCATTAAATAAATTAATATGAAGTGATCTTAAACAGTTAAGAAATCAATCAGCTATGCTTGATACAGAAAAGAAATGGAAGAAATTAAGATTTTTAAAACAGAAACATTTTGAACACAAAAATAATCTGGGAAGATACTCAGCAATACTGTCTTAAGAATGAAACTGAAAGGAGAAGGATAACAGCGGAGAAGAAAGACAGTGGAGTCACTTATGCAGAGAAGCATGAGCAGTTTACCCTCTTTTTTTCAAATTTGTATTAAAAGACTCAATTTTAGAGTATGGGAATTGAGCAATAAATAGAAGAAGCACACATTGAAAATTTTACATCTGAACATAGGAGAAATACTGAATGACATTACTACTATCCAAGAAATATCATAAGCTATTAAACAAGAAATTGAAGAAAGATAAAGCACCTAGCCCAGATGGTTTCACAACAATGTATTACAAATGCTTAGAAAAAAAATTAATGATACCACTTCAGAAAATAATAAATAAAATAAAGAGAACTCACTGCCTCCATCATGGCAAGAAGGTTATATAACACTGATATATAAAGAAGGTAATGATCCTACTTTGCCACACTCTTATAGACCTATTTCACTATTAAATGTGGATTACAATCTTTTTACATTGGTAATTTCAGAGAGATTAAGAAAAGGCATTCCAAAGCAGATTCATCCATATCAGACTAGCTTTGTATCAAAGTAATATATGAAAGATAGTGTTCGTTTTGTGATTAATACAATTGAATTTGTTAAGAAGCAGAAAGCTGAATTTCTTTTTAGGTGCTGAAAATGCACTTGATAATCTGTCTTGGCCCTTTTTATTAAAACTCTTCTCTATTTATACTGTGACCCAAGAGTCATGAATTGGATTCAGGTAATTTACACAAAACAGCACACAAACATTTTAATAAATGAAGCTTTAAACAGTGGCTTTCAAATAGATAAAAAACATGTCAGGGATATCTATAATCATTTCTATTTATCCTCATATTGGAAGTCTTATCCACAAAAATAAGACAAGATACAAAAATTAAAGACTTAAAAGTAGATGGAGAAAAATACAAAATGAAAATGAATATTGACAATATAGGATATAGCTCTCCATCTATCACTGCAATGTATAACAACTCAGATTGAAAAGTTTGACTCTTTCTCTGGTTATAAAAGAAGAAAAAAAACCCAAAATTATTTGAAAATTTCTAACAAAACAAGAAGACTTGAATATTTGAAAAATCTCAGGATGTGAAAAACTTCTAACTCAGTTAAGTACTTGGGAATAAAGGTGACTGGACAAAAGAATACATTATTCCAAGACAATTAAAAATAATATGGATAGAAATCCAAAAAGATCTACAAAGATACATTCAAGGCAAAACTGGACAGTCATCTGAGTGGGATGGTGTAAACTGGTATCCTGCAACAGCAGGGGGTTGGACTCGATGGCCTTCCTGGCCCCTTCCAACTCTAGTGTTCTATGATTCTAAAGCTTTTAGTTCATTAGTCTGACAGGGTCAGGGCATGATTTGCTGCTTGCTTTTCAGTCTAATGTTTTTTGCAATCTGCTAGAGATTACACTTTTTACTTCCAGTCTTAAATTCTTTTAATATGCTATATTCTCCTTGGCAAGCTCCAGTACAATATTTCTGCAGCATTATGGACTGATACAGTTTTTGTATGGAGGAAAAGCC